TTTTTCTTTTTTATCATCCTATTGTTGGTAGTTATACTATATCCGTAGCTGATGGATCCCATAAATCAGATATTGGTTCTGGTAACATTCAAATTCAACCTTCCTTGTTTCTTAAAAATGTTCTTTATGTTCCTCAGCTTTCTACTAATCTTATCTCCACTCAAAAACTTACAACTGATTTGAATTGTTCTATCACATTTTTACCTTCTCATTGTGTTATTCAGGATCTTACCACGAAGAAGACAATTGGAGTTGCTAATGAGCAGGATGGGTTGTATTATCTCCTTCCAGAACATGCTATAAATGATAGCAAAAATCAGTTATTAATGACACGTCATTCTTCTACCTCAGAGTCTATGATTTGGCTCCATCACAAGCGTCTGGAGCATCCACCATTCAGTTTATTGAAGTCAATGTTTCCTTCTTTGTTTCTAAATTAGTCAGTTGAGACCTTCCATTGCGATGTTTGTGAATTTGTAAAACACCATCGAGTGTCATTTCCTTGTAGCACTATCAAAAGCAGCGAACCTTTTTCTCTTATCCATTCTGATGTTTGGGGCCCTTCTAAAGTGCATAGTGTTTCAGGTGCAAGGTGGTTTGTTTCTTTTATTGACGATTGTACTCGGGTAACATGGATATTCTTGATGAAAGACAAGTCTGAAGTACCAGAGATATTTATTCGATTTCATCACATGGTTGAGACTCAGTTTGGTAATTGTATTAAAAGACTAAGATCTGGTAATGGTACTGAGTAAGTCAACCAATGTCTGTCGCAATTCATTTCAGACAGAGGTATGATTCATGAGCTCACATGTGTTGATACCCCTCGACAAAACGAGGTTGCTGAAAAAAAAAATCGTCACCTCCTTGAATTTGCTAGAGCACTACTTTTCCAGACATCTGTTCCTAGTTCTTATTGGGGAGAAGCCGTGTTAGCTGCAACATTTTTGATCAACCGCTTACCTGCACGGGTCCTTAACAATACCCGCCCGATTCATTCCATGACTTCCTTCTTTCCTTCTGTTCCCATTTTGCAAAGCCTTCCACCAAGAGTGTTTGGATGTGTTGCCTTTGTCCATGTTTATAAACAACATCGCAGTAAGTTGGATCCTAGGGCTCTTAAGTGTGTCTTCCTTGGTTATGCCCCTGATAAAAAAGGGTACAAGTGTTATCATCCACCAAGTCGAAATTTTTTTGTTTCTATGGATGTCACCTTTCAAGAATCTGAGTCTTATTTCTTGGGTCTTCATATTCAGGGGGAGAACAGCTCTTCAGAAGACTTATCCCCTTCCTTCTTTGAGTCTGGATCGTCCTTCTCTACTCCTACACCTCTTCCTAGTGTGTCTGCTCCTGGTGTGTCAAAACCTCCAAATACACCCGAGATACGAAAGATTTTGACACCTGAATTGGTATATCAGGGGAGGAAACAACCTATACTGTCTCACCAGCAACCTCAATCGTCTGAACCACTGGTAAGTCCTGAATCTCCTGTTTCTCATTCTAATATTATTGCCTCTCATGATTTGCCTATTTCTTCTGATACCTCTGATGACTTACCAATTACTTCTGCTTCTGATGACTTACCTATTGCTCTAAGAAAAGGAAACAGATCTTGTACTCAATATCCTATCTCTCATTTTGTTTCTTCTACTAATCTTTCTGTGCAGCACAAAAGCTTTGTTTCAGCGCTAGATTCTATTTCAATCCAAAATCAGTACATGAAGCTTTGAAAGATGAGAATTGGTCTCAAGCCATGCAAGAGGAGATAGATGAATGCATTGGAGAAAAATAAAACATGGGAGGTTATTGATAGACCCAATGGAAAGAAAGCAGTAGGGTGCAGATGGGTTTATGCCCTAAAGTATAATTTTGATGGCACTCTTGAGAGATATAAGTCTCGGTTAGTCGCCAAGGATTACACTCAGACCTACGACATTGATTATGAAGAAATCTTTGCTCCAGTTGCAAAGATGAATACGGTGAGAGTCTTGTTATCCCTTGCTGCTCATTATAATTTGGATATAAATCAATTTGATGTGAAGAATGCTTTCCTTAATGGTGAGTTAGAAGAAGAAGTCTACATGGAAATCTCGCCTGGTTTTGATTCTGTGGACGGAGAAAATAATGTTTGTAGATTAAGAAAATCCTTGTATGGATTGAAGCAGTCACCTCGTGCCTGGTTTGGGAGGTTTACTAATGTTATGATGACCTTAGGATACAAACAGAGTCAAGGAGATCACACTCTTTTCTTTAAGCACTCCCAAGATGGGAAGCTCACTGTGCTCCTTGTATATGTTGATGATATTATTATAACAGGTGATGATTTTGTGGAGAGACATATTCTGCAAACACGACTAGCCTCTGAGTTTGAAGTTAAAGACCTTGGGAAACTGAGATATTTCCTAGGGATAGAGGTAGCTCATTCAAACAAAGGAATTTTTATCAGTCAGAGGAAATATGTTCTTGAGCAGGAAAGCTTGGGTGTAAACCCTCAAATACTCCTATTGAGCAGAATCACAAGATAGGTTATGAAGAGGAGAGTCCTCCAGTTGATAAAGGACAATATCAACGGCTAGTTGGGAAATTGATATATCTGGCTCATTCTAGACCAGACCTTGCTTATGCTGTTAGTGTCGTCAGTCAGTTTATGCACGATCCAAAGGAGAAACAGATGCAGGTAGTGCAGAAAATTCTTCAATATCTTAAAGCCACTTCTGGTAAAGGACTATTATTTCGGCGTGATGGCAATCTCTATTTAGAAGTTTACACTGATGCTGATTATGCTGGATCTGTGACTGACCGTCGTTCTACCACTGGTTATTGAATGTTTCTTTGTGGTAACTTGGTGACGCGGAGAAGTAAGAAACAAGATGTGGTTGCCAGATCAATTGCAGAAGCTGAATTTCGAGCTATGGCTCAAGGCATTTGTAAGTTATTGTGGCTGAAAATTGTACTTGATGATCTCAAAATAAAATGTGAGGGACCTATGAAGCTGCTATGTGACAATAAGTCCGCTATTTGTATAGCTCATAATCTGGTTCAACATGATCGGACTAAACATATTGAGGTCGACCGCCATTTCATCAAAGAGAAACTTAATTGCGGGTTGATTACCACTCCATACATTCCCACTGGGCGTCAATTGGCTGATCTATTAACAAACTGACTTCCTCCGGACAGATTTCAAGAACTTACTAGCAAGCTGAGAATGATAAATATCTATTCCTTAGCTTGAGGGGGAGTGTTGTAAATAATAATATTTATTTATTTATTTGTTGTATTGGGCTTAGCTCATTAGGTCATGTAATCTCTTTAAATAGAGAACCCTCTGTACAGTTTACGTACAATTCAATAATATATTTCATTACCCTTTTACAAGTAATTATATTCCAAAGGCAAACCTTCAAGAATATATTCGATGTGATCTTCTAAAACTAGATTTTGAATCGCCTTCAAGGAATTACACAAATATTTGATTCGCGAAAGATAGTCAAATATTGATCTCGTGCCTTTCTTGATCAATCGAAGCTCAGATCTCAGTTGTCTAGCCTTCGATTTCATCTTTCCATGAAACATCTTATGGATCTGATCCCAAGCTTCATGTGAGTGCTTAACGCCTATGATTTCGTTCACAACAGATTCTGACATAGTTGAAAGTAACCAGGTTAACAACATCTGATCTTGCATCAGCCATTCCTGAAACGCAGGATTTACAGATTCATTCTTGCGATCTTCTTGTGTCAAGAATTTCATTGGAATTTTTGGATTAACCAAAAACTTGTGAAGTTGATGAGAAGTTATGATAGGCTCGACAATTTGATTCCAAAATAAGTAATTATCCTCAGTGACCTTGACTGAAATTTGATAGTTGAAGAGTGCAGTTGTTTTGTTCTCCATTGTTCCACTTCGATTACCTTGATTTGCACCGCTTTGATCACTGGTGCTGTGACTTCTTAATGAATCCTCTGTCGCGGAAACCATTGGTGAAGACTAAGTGGATCAGACCCTCAGAAAAAGAGCTCTGATACCAGATTAAAGTTTGAGAGAGAGAGAGATGAGAGAGCAAGAAAGCCATTCTTTGATATTATGAATTCTGAAGATGAATTATAGAGGAGCTCTATTTATAGAGCTGAGCTACTAACAGATCTGAAACTAACAGATCTAACCAACTAACAAACCATAAAACAGAAAAGAGAAATAGATTCTGTACATTCAGGAGTAAGCTAACAGAATACAACAGTGTTAACTGAGCTAATACGTAACGAAGCTAAGCTTACAATATATCTAATATCCAGCATCCCTGATTTGCCTTTGCAGCCATGTTTTGTGGTGCCCAAATATATTATTTGATTACATTTCCTTTTTAAAAGAGTATTATAAAGAAACATTCCAATGCAAAAGCTTAAGCTATTAGGTAAATGTCAAATTAATGGTTTTATATTTTTTTAACATGTCCCCTCACACAAGAGGCCAAGCGTGAACAATGCAATGGTCCATCTACCTGTTTTGAGAAATTCCATAATATTTTATTATTTTTTAATAGAATAGGGCCGGTGAGGATTGAACTCATGATCTATTGTCAAAGAAGCTCTGATATTATGTAAATAATTATTTCTACCCAAAAGTTTAAACTATCATGTGAAGGCCACATTAGTGGTTTTATATTTTTCTACCAAGTATGTTTGTAACAAGCTTAAGCTTTACTTGAAACAGAGTGTTAGATGATTTCTTTCTTACAATATTAATATTATGTGTTAGTATAGTTTAGAGTATCATAGGATCTCTTAGAATTAGTTTCTTTATTTTAGGAGTCCCCTTTTTAATATAAACAGTAATTAGTGCTTTGTCTTTTGTAATCACATCAACCACCTCATAACACATAATATTCAGTCTCTGTTATTCTCTATATAATTTCAACAATTCACAACATATGTTTTCTACATTTATTTTTTATCTTTCTCTCTCTCTCTCTCTCATGTTTACCTTTTGAATTTTCTTAGATTGGAGAATTGGAGGCCAATGTGAAACAGCATGAGAATTTTGCTGTGCAAGCATCATTGCAGTTTGATATCTGTGAGAAGCTATTTAGTTTTTGATTTTGTTGTTTTTGCTATCTGCAAATATGTTGCTAAAATTTCCAGTGGTCATGTAAAATTGTGAATATATATACCTATTGTTATTTGTTCAGGTAAGAAAGAGGCTGAAAATTGTAGACAGAAGCTTACAGATACCTTGAAGTATGCTAAATCAATTGCTCGGCTTACACCTCAACTAGAGAAGGAATTTCTTGAGGTTTGTGGATTCAAATTGCTGTGTACATTCTTGTTCTGTATATTTTGCATTGCAACCGCCAACCTCATCCCGATGATGATGCTTCCTTGACATAATGTATTTTATTTTTTGAGAATTTGAAGTTGAAAGAATATATGAACACAAAAGCATCATTTGATGTTAATGTTTTATTATTGGAACAGGTAAGAGGGGTCTGACAAATTTATATTCAAACATAACCATTAAGTGACTTAGATATATGTTTATAAATCACTCGGCAAAGCTTTTTTGCCCGTTCAACTTTGTATTACAAAACAAATATCAGTTATTAAATATGCTCACTACGTACAACTCATTCTAAAATTTAAATAATCTGCTGCATGTGAGAGGGCTATTGATAACAAAGGGCTGTCTGATTCTGTTGAATTCTGAAGGGAAGGAGAATACAAATTCAGTTCCCAAGCCCAAACCGGCCAAAAACCAAGACCAAGCTAGGAAACAAAAGAAGAATTAGTTATGAGGGATTGTACTAGGAGTCAGTTAGAGGAGAAGGAGAGAATCTGATGTAATAAGGAGGGGTTCCTTTTCTTTTGTTGTGTTTGTCTACATAGCTGGGAGCTTCTACATCTTCTTTTCTTGCTTCTGTGATTTTTTCCCCTCCAAATCATTATAGGGTTTTATAAGAGTTATGTTGTAGAAAAAGTGATTGTGTAATGTTATAGAGATTCGTTTTGTGTGCCGTGGTTTTTTTTTTTTTTTGCTTCAAAAAGTGTGGGCCCCACAAAATGTTGTGTGTGTAGGAAACTTTTTTGTGTCATGTTAAATGATGAATGCAAACTCCATCATTATATCAATCTCCCTTTTCTGGACAGGAGAATTTTCCTATCAAATTTTGTTATGCGCTTCAAGATTTATATTATATATTCTATATAACCAATTGTCCTATTATTTGGAATTGGCTCAAATATTTTAGACACTTCGTTTATAATGAATAGGAGTATTATTAGAAGGAAAAAAAAATATAAGGTTTTTCTCATGAAATAGGCACTACAACTACTCTAGTACTTATTATTATTATTATAAATAGGAGCATTTGGTTATTGTTTTGTCATCTAATTATCAATGAATACACAATTTCTCTCAAAATTTCGACAGCTTCTATATATATGTAGGTGAATGAATAGGCACTCTAACAAGATTTATGTTTTTCTCATGTAGATGCCTACTACAATTGAGGAATTGGAAGCAGCTATCCAAGATACCGCTTCTCAAGCCAATTCAATCCTGTTTGTCAATCATGACATATTGGAACAATATATGAATCGTCAACGACAGGTATTCTTTACATTCTTGTAATTTTGTGAGAGTTATTTCCATGTGCCATCTATATTTACCATTAATTTACAGATAGAAGATCTTGCAGCAAAACTTGAAGCAGACAAGGAGGAATCTATAAGGTGTTCAGCTCAAATAGATAACATTAAGGTCAGTTTAAGTGTTAGCTTTCACCTGAATGTTATGTGTACAATTCATATGTTAGTGCAACTGTTGAATTGATCTTCTCTAAATTATAATCTAATAGAGGTTTGTGTACACCTGAAAAATAGAGTACACATTTTCCCACGGCTATACAGTGCCAGCTCCTTGTTACGTCTCGCTCTCATCATTTTCTCCTCCCTATCCTTTTCGGTTTGTAAAAGATTTACAGGCTTTCACTAATATTTTGGATTTGCTAAGTTCTCCCCCTTCCTATGCTTTAGCAATATAGTTGAGTGAATATTTTTAGATGAATTTGAAAGTCAAATTTGAGTTAATTCGTTGTGTAGTAATCACACCATACGCACGCTACATATAATAGTTTGGGAATCAATTACATTTAATACAATTGACCCTACAATTAATCCTGATTGATTATAAAATAATTAGATAATTTTCTACTCTAGTCGTGTATGATGTTGACATACTATGGAGATATTCTAATAATTCTAACATTCGCCCTCGAGTTGGTACATATATATCATATGCGCTAAGCTTGTCACATTTATAGTTGACTTGGGAACTTCTAGGAGCCTTAGTGAAAATATTTGCAAGTTCATCATTAGCATTGACAAATGTTGTTTCGATCTCCCTAGATTGAATTTTCTCTCGAATAAAATGACAATCAATCTGATAAGAACTGAAATTCCATAAGGATTAAAAGAAAAGAACATAACACTCTTTTGGCCCAGTAAACTAGAATTTTCTGATATATATTAAAGAGGAAACAATAAGGAAATGAGACAAACAAAATACAGCAGATAAAACTACTACAATGAAATAGCTACAAATTGCATAAGCAAAAGGAAAACAATGAATAGCCCAAGTGCAGCACAATCAAGACGTGCGCTTTCTCCCAAGTCCAATTCTAATTCCAGCCTATTTTTTCCTTTCCCCCTTTCTCTATTTATTCCCACTTCTTGCAGGGGTTGTTGTTCCACGTTGCTAACACCATCACACCTTGTTGACTCAGCATTGGAGAATGATCCTCTGCACATTTTCCTTGCTAATAATAATACACCCAAATTGCTGATGTCCTATCAATACTTCCCCCCAAACTTTCACCTTGTCCTCAAGGTGAAGGTTAACTGTTAAAAACCTTCCACCAAGATCCCATTGCTTGAATCGTAAGAGCCAATTTGTGTGCAGTGCAATATAACTTCCACTCGGATCCCATTCTCATCTTCAATGCCTATATTCATTATGTAACTCACAGAAATTGGAAGAACACAAGAATAAGATTCTCACAAAAAAATAGTGGCATTGTTCATGGCAGTCCCTTCCCTATGGCAGTTCATGGAAGCATACATCCGAAATTCATTGTCGTTTGCTTCGAGTAAGGATGGAAGATAATAATCATAAACTCCACCCCATTGCTTGGCCACAACGTAAAAAATCCTTGAAAACAATTAGAATTTATGAATGTATTGTATTCAATTGTATATAGAACTGTACAAAAGTCCTCTATTTAAAGAGGTTAAAAGACCTAATGGGCCAGGCCCAAATAACCTGCTAGAATAACAAAATAACAAATATACAATACTATTTAATACAATATTATTTCTAACACTCCCCCTCGAGCTGGTGAGTATATATCATAAGCTCCTAGCTTGTTACATATATGATCTATTCGGGGACCTCTAAGAGCCTTGGTAAAAACATCTGCAAGTTGTTCACTGGAACTGACAAATGCTGTCTTGATCTCTCCTGACTGAATCTTCTCTCTAACAAAGTGACAGTCAATTTCTATAAGTTTGGTCCTCTCATGAAAGACTAGGTTAGAGGATATACGCAATGCTGCTTGATTGTCACAAATGAGCTTCATGGGCTGCTGTTCACAGAGATGTAGTTCTTTAAGCAATTGTTTTAGCCAGATGAGCTCACGGGTTGCATTTTCCATTGCCTGATATTCTGCTTCTGCACTTGACCTGGCGACCAAAGTTTGCTTCTTACTCTTCCAAGAGATCAAGTTTCCTCCGAGGAGAACACAATACCTCGACGTGGATCGTCTGTCTGAAGGAGAACCTGCCCAGTCAGCATTTGAATAGCTAGACACCTTTGCATTCCCTTTATTTGTGTATAATAAACCTCTTTTTGGTGCTCTTTTGATATATCGAAGAATCTTGATAATTGCATCCCAATGGGAGTCACAAGGAGAGTCAAGAAATTGACTTGCCATACTAACTGCAAAAGAGATGTCTGGTCTTGTCACAGTAAGATAGTTCAACTTTCCAACTAGTCGGCGGTAACGACCAGGGTCTGCCAATGGCTCCCCCTGTCCAGGCAATAACTTAATATTAGGATCCATAGGTGTATCAATGGGTTTACATCCCAACATACCAGTCTCATCTAAGATATCCAGTACATACTTCCTCTGACAAATGGAAATGCCCTACCTAGATTGTGCCACTTCGATCTCTAAGAAATATCGAAGTCTGCCAAGATTTTTGGTCTGAAACTGATTGAATAAGTATTTCTTTAATTGATCAATCCCACTTTGATCGCTGCCAATAATAATGATGTCATCAACATAGACCATAAGATAAATGCACTGGCCAGAAGAGCTATGCCTATAGAAGACAGAATGATCGGCTTTACTTCTGGTTAAGTCAAAGGATTGAACAACAGAACTAAAGTGACTAAACCAGGCCAGAAGGGACTGCTTCAGGCCATATAAAGATTTACGAAGCTTACATACCATTCCAGAATTCTCCCCCTGAGCAACAAAACCTGGTGGTTGCTCCATATATACTTCCTCTTGCAAGTCACCATGTAAGTAGACATTTTTTATATCAAAGGGGCCATTGATGAATGGTAGCAAGTGCAAGAAACAGACGCACGGAGGCCATCTTGGCTACAGGAGAAAAAGTATCCCGATAGTCAAGACCAAATATCTGAGTGTATCCCTTGGCCACTAAACGAGTTTTGAGGCGATCAATAGTGCCATCAGGACCAACTTTGACAGTGAATACCCATCGACAACCGACAACTGACTTTCCAGGAGGAGCATGAACAAGATCCCATGTGCCATTGGAGTGAAGTGCTTGCATTTCATCAATCATCGCATGGCGCCAACCCGGATGAAAAACTAAAAACAGATGAAATACTAGAAACAAAAATAAAATGCGGTGAAGAAAGTCTATCATAACTTAAGAAACTGTAAAGTTGATGAGGGTTGCGAGTGAATCGAATACCTTTGCGAAGGGCAATGTGAGTAATCTCTGATGGAGGATCCGGAGGGAAAGAGTCGACAGGAGAAGGGGGTGAGTCAGTAAGGGTCAAATCTGCTGGAGGCGCAGTCTGACGACGTTGATAGGTGCGAAAAGGACGGTCTTCAGGGATGGAGGCAAGGGGCCGCTCCTCTGGGATAGAGTCACTTGCAACTGGTAAAGACAAGTTAAGACATGGAACAGGAAGAACCTGATCAACTTGTGTTATCTGAGACGGGATATAATGTAAAGGTTGTCGATCAAGGAAAGTAATATCAGCCGAAACAATATAACGCTTGAGATCAGAAGAGTAGCAACGATACCCCTTTTGAAAACGAGTATATCCAAGGTAAATACACTTGAAGGCTTTGGATGTTAATTTATCTTTTCCTGGAGTAAGATCATAAACAAAGCAGTTACATCCAAATACATGTGGAGGCAGAGGATATGAAGGTGCTCCTGGAAATAATACACTCTGTGGAACTTCATTATTGGGCACAGAAGAGGTGATTATAGCATCTGCCCAAAAACGAAGTGGAACATTCATATGAATTAGTAAGGTACGTGCAGTTTCAACCAAATGTCTATTTTTACATTCTGCCACTCCAATTTGTTGTGGAGTGTGTGGACAAGTGATCTGGTGTAACGTCCCACGTTTCTCCAAAAAATTAGAAAATTCAAGAGACACATACTCTTTTGCATTATCACTGCGCAAGATTTGAATAAAAGTACCAAATTGAGTATTTATCTCAGCACAAAATTATTGATAAATTGAAAAATAATTCAGAAAGGTTTTTCATTAAATAAACTCAAGTACAACGAGAGAAATCGCCAACAAAGGTTACAAATTACTGAAAACCCAAAACAAACATTGTTCGACTCGGACCCCAAATATCAGAATGGACAATAGAAAAAGGAGCATCAGCTCTTTTATTGACTCTATTAGCAAAGGAGGAGCGAGTATGCTTTCCTTGCTGACGCGACTGACAATTTAAAGACTAAAGACTTGATAAAAAAGGAACCATATGCTGTGAATAAGCTCAGGAGACTCTGTAAGACTAGAGAAGGTGGTGTAATCTGTAAAGAACCAATTCAACCCAAAAGCTTAAGCTGTTGGATGAGGTTACATTAATGATTTTATATATCTCAACACGCCCCCTCACACGAGAGCCCACTGGGCTTGAAGGGTGGACGATGTAGAGGTCCACCTACCTGTGCGTAGAAAGAAATTCCACTAGAAAGAAAGTGGGAGGCGATGAGAATCGAACCCGATACACCGAGGCTCTGATACCATGTAAAAAACCAATTCAACCCAAAAGTTTAAGCTGTTGGGTGAGGCTACATTAATGATTTTATATATCTCAACACAATTAGATTGTAAAGACCTCGTGACTCAATGTCTGCTACAATCGTCTGTCCCGTACCCGGATCCTGCATAGAATAGGATTGTTTAGAGAAGGTGACAGTACATGAAAGAGAATGAATCAACTGGTTAACAGAGATTTAATTAAAGGGAATGCCAAGTATATAATAAACATAGTTCAAAGTTAAAATGGGAGTTGGGTTGGCTTCCCCAATTCCACGAGCAGGGGCCTTAGTGCCATCAGCAAGAGTGACAGAGGGTAGGTTTTTAGAATAAGAAAGTGAAGTGAAGAGATCTTTATTACCACAAAGGTGATGAGTAGCACCTGAGCATCAACCTTTTCCCATTCAGATGTCTGATCCTTTGAAATATCGGCAGACTTAGTTGTGAGATGTTTTTCGTATCCCTGACCAATTGTAAATTCGTATAATTGCTTGTGTATTAATTCTGAATGTTGCAAATAATTCTGTAATATCCTCTGTAAATGTCAATGGTGTACCTAGTGCCCCCTTCAACTACACCCTTTGGCACTGTAGTCTAGGTCAACCACGATCTGATGCATTGAAAACTCTACTCAATTCTTGTCACATTTCGGTCTCTAATAAAATATCTCTTGACTTTTGTTGAGCATATTGAATGGACAAAGCCCTTCCACTCCTACTACTGTTTATGGTGCTTCTTTTCTTTTTTTCTTTGGGTACATTTTATGGTGGTGCTTTTGATTTAGTTTTCAGTGACCTTTGGACCCTGCCCACAGATTTCATCTTTGGGCTATTCTTATTACTTCAATTTTGCGGATGTTCATTCCCTATTTATATGGATAATGTGAGCTATAGTGGGCTGAGGATTGATGCTCGTTCTATAAACATTTTTTCTCCTTTTTCTTTTGGAAGAGAGCAAGCATCTGTCTTTTTTTTTTTTTTAGTGTGTTTCTGGTTTACTTGAAAATATTGTCATGAGAAAAGCTCAATTTTTAAAGTTGTTTCTGCAGGGAAAATGGCTTCCATCACTGAGAAACCTTGTGTCGCAGATAAATGAAACCTTCACCCGTAATTTTAGTGAGATGGCTGTTGCGGGAGAAGTTTCACTAGGTATGTCAGATGGTAATTGAATTTTAATTTTATTGGGTTTTCTTACGCTCATATCTTCATCAATGTTTCTCTTCTCAGATGAGCATGGCATGGACTTCGATCAATTTGGAATATTTATAAAAGTCAAATTCAGGTGAATGCTATTCTGAACCATTTTCTTTATTTTTCAGACATGTGCCAAGGTCACTGTTCATTCTTGTGGTTAATTGATGTGACTTCTGGTTACCAGTCAACTTCAATGTTAAGAAGGAAACTCAACTTCATGACCTTGAATTAGTACTCAGTTATTGATAGTAGCTGTAAATAAACCGTAATACATTTATTTTGACCTTTTAAAAAATGCTATCATTTTATCATCGTTGGTTATTGTTCAGTTTAAATTTTCTGCATGTAGTCAATATTCTGATTTTCAGTTCACCAGTTGTGCTTCATACCTACTTGTATTTATATTTCAATTAAATGGGCCCGAAGCTTGAATTGGTCAATAATTGCCAAGGGTACCTGCCAATACCCTAATAAAAACAACGGATTCTAATGGAGTATATGTTATATATCTTGCTTTGTGTTAGATGTTATATATAAATTTCACTAAAGCTTCCATGAGTCTGACCAAATGGTCTAGATTTTGATCCTTATCATCTCCATTCTTCTAATGAAAAGTTAAATTTCAGCACACGATGGATGGGTCTGTGCATTTGACCTCAAGCCCAAAGAACTCTCGTGGAAGAGAGCGTGTTAGAGATTTTAGCATAAAAATTTGTGTTTTCACCTAAAGCTTATGTTTTGGGTAAAGTTGATTAATGACACTTTTTTCTCTCTTCTCACCATATATTTCATTATGTATTACCATTCAGGGAAAACGGAAAGCTTCAAGTTCTCAGTGCCCATCATCAATCTGGCGGGGTATTACAAAGAATTTATTTCTTATTACATTGATGCCTTAATGTTTTCCCCTCTTAATGAACCTTGAAGTTTAATTTTGTAGGAACGATCAGTTTCAACTATTGTTTATCTTGTATCCCTTCAAGATCTTACAAATTGCCCATTTAGAGTTGTAGATGAGATCAACCAAGGTTGGTTTCTTTTTTGAAGTAAATTCTTTAGATTGACCTCAGAGAGCACAAAAGAGACCTTCTTTGACTGTATTTTTATTAGGCATGGACCCAATAAATGAAAGGAAGATGTTCCAGCAACTAGTGAGAGCAGCAAGCAAGCCAAATACGCCACAGTGAGTACTAAATACTATCACTTGATCTTTTCAGTTCCTTCACTCAGTTTGAGAAGGTAATAACTTAATGAATGCTTGCTACATACGCAACTGAGTCAGATTGTTTTATTGGCTGTCAAGACTCTTGAATAAAACGGGATAGGCAAGGGCTATTAATAATATCTGGGTAGGCCGGGAGAGAAATACAGTTACATGTATGATCACCATCCTATTTCTGTTGAGGACAGTCTACTTCATGCATAGTATCTAATCCAAAATATTTTATGGGCAATACATGTGAGTCAAACAAACTCAGGTTATGATTGTGATGCTTTGCATACATACTGCAGACAATTAAAGGTTGATCTTTGCATGTGCGAGTCACTAATATGTTTTCTTCCCCGCCTTTGTGGGTGGATAACGTATAAGCTACCATTAATCTTATGCAGGTGTTTCTTGCTTACACCGAAGTTGTTACCAGATCTGCAGTATAGTGAGGCATGCAGTATCTTGAATGTAATGAATGGCCCTTGGATTGAGCAACCCTCAAAGGGTAATTTCTCATACCAAAAGCTTTAGTTTTCCTCTTTTTTTACTGTTGATAATTCTCACAGGACATTTTCTGTCTGTGTGAATCAGTCTGGACTACTGGTGATCGATGGGGTATTATCACGGGACGTGTTGGAGAGACCCAATGTTAAAAGGTAAAACACTAGGGTGTTACGCCATAGTGGGGGATCTATGCAAGCTTGCGGGGTCTGCTTAGCTTTTTTCGGATGTATATTTTTTCGGAGGAAAAAAAACTTAGCATTTGAACGAACATGCTTTTGTTTCATTGGTTTTTAATGGAAATATGTAATATTGTAAATATCTTATTTATTTATGCCGTGATGATAATCAACCCTTGTTCCCACCATTGCTTGGTCAACAGTAAGGTTTTACCAAGCCACTGGGAGAATCTACAAGCAAGCATGAATTATTTGGGTTACTTTAAAAGCTTGTTCATTCAACCATGCTATCAAATTAAGTAGGTTATACCAATTATAGGCCGTTCTTTGTCCTGAACTTACACTGTTTTTCACGTAATATTTTGGCATTAAGAGCATAAATGAATCGTAAGTACGTTCATGAGCATGCTTTTCAGTCGTTAATGAATTACCTAAGTAAAAATATCCTGCCCTAAGTAAAGTAAATTCTCACCGAACGCTTGGTAATCTAGCGCCTCCTTTGTAAGTATTATCAAGACACACGGTCATGCATTTATTACTCTCCAAGTTTACACCCCTTATAAGATGAAGGTACGACTTCACAAAATTAAGCTTACCTCAAGATTCTTGGGAGATGTCATTTACTCGTGACTTTATTTGTGGACTGAGTGACTTTGCTTGGGGACTGCTCGAGTGATGGCGTCTAGTTGGCACATCAAGTGTTATTTTGCTCCATTTGATATCATCAAATAATGGTAGTTTAGTTGGCATTAGAGAATTGAGCTGGTGGAGGTAAAAGTATGTATTTGATTCTCTCTAGTATTGTCTTTAGAAAGGGTTTAAAGCATTAATCCTGAAATTCGTTCCGAATCGGACTAGTCGCGAAGCGATGAACCGGTTGAAATATCTCAAAAAAAAACAAAAACAAATTAAGCATATCAATGCTAATTAGCTAATTACATTTTAACGTAATTTTTCCAACTGAGCATCTAAAAAGATATCGTATTAGGTGGGCATTACATGAATAAATCATCTTGCAACCCAATTTTCCTCCGAACAATTACTCAGATCCCTCGTGCGAAAACTTAAACACCACTCTGAACCGCAATTTGAAATTATGTGAATTTGTGTTGCATCTGATTCAGTTAATGTTAGGTTTCAATTTGTAGTACAGTGGTATAGTCAATCGAGATAAATGCTGTTTGGATACTTCTTTTTTTTATGATGACAAACAAGAACAGGAAAGTTTCAAGTTCTTGAAAGATTCAAAGCTAAATCCTTATTGGACTTGGATTTTAATTTGCAAAAACAATAACCATTAGACTTTTTGAGCATGTGATTTGGCCTTTTCTATTTTCTACACTCTATTGTTATTAGGGAATAAGAAGATTTTGGTTGACAAGGGGATGCAAAAAAAAAAAGTATGCTAAAGACTAGGGAAAAAAAAGTATGCTAAACTTAAAATGAGTAGTTAAAATACGGATTGAATGCTTCATAATAAATGCTTCATAATAAAGTTTGATTCCATTACGAAACAGAGTATTAGTAGCACTTATAAAATATGAATATTGCAACCAAAATATAAATATGGTCTAGTACAGAATATCACAATTAGATAAAAATGTAGACTTTATTGACTACTACTTCTTCCTTGCCCAGACATGTCATTTACTTTACACTTTGTCTTCAACATTTGAAAACATACACTTAATGATATTTTTATCCCAATGAAAATAACATTTTGCAAAAGTGTAATATTTCCAACCATAACTTAGTATTAAAATGAATAATATTAACATGATAATATTTTAAAACAATTTAATATCACAAATATATATATATATATATATATATATATATATATATATATATATATATATATATATATATATATATATATGACATTATCTGCCAAGACATTTTCAAAGCTGTGCACTTTGCAAGGATATCCCATGCCTCATCATGTCTAAGAGATATGTTCCTTGCCTCAAGAAACCCAGATTTTTGGCCATGCATATATTTAGATTACTTTATATGAGGAATCTCATAAACTAGTTAGACAGACAAATATGCAAATACCTCTAAAAGGATCCCATAAATATTTAAGTTATAGGAATTTTTACGGTACAAAATTTATTATACAAAATTTAACGTGCAAAATTTACATAAATATTAAAGACATCAATATCAATATAATGAACATGAAAATATGAAAAAAAAATTAAATAAATACATGTACAATATTTATCACATACAAGACATTATAAACATATACGACAATTATAAATTATAAAATTGTAAATTTGGTTAAATATAAATCGAAATATATATACATAAATATATAATTATAATATATAACAATATAATTTGTAGAAAAGTAAATTAGTGAAATATAAAATGTTAAATTTTAAATATATATATATATATATATACTTCTAAAATGGTGAAATGTAAAGTGCAGAAATGTAAATTGTTAAAGTATAAATTGCAAAAATATAAATTTGTTGTAATATAAATTCCCAAAATATAAATTGTTGAAAAGTGAAATAAATAACGAAATGATACTTTCATGGAATTTACATTTTAGAAGAAAGAAAGAAATTATCATCACCCTTAATATTTACTTTCATCTTTCCTTATTATAAAACTTCCCAACTCAAAATTTCGTTTCTTTATCTCTCCCTCTTTCTTAGTAAAGTTTTCTCTAAATTTCTCGAGACCTTCACTCCTTAATTTCTCTCCATTTCCAGCAATGACTAATGTTTCATCTAGCAAAAATATTACCATGCCAATGATAACGATTAATATGATAATCAAAATACTATTATATCCATGTTGGCTGATAAAAGTATTACATTAATACTAGGAAAAAAAATTAGCTCAAGGTCTTTGAGAGATGCTTTCGTCATTCACTTTGGTATTTGTATTTACTTGGGGATAAACAAAGTGTCTAGTTTGCACATCAAGTGCCATTTGGCTCCACTAGCGAGCTGGAATGGCATGTTGGTGTTCATTAAGGATGTGTAAAATGTTGGACAAGTGGCTTCAAACACAAGAGGGGGTGAATTGAGTTTTAAAAATATTTTCACATAATGCCTCACTTCCTTTCTTGAAAGCGATTTTCTTGACTTAATATAATTTGGCACAAGCAAAGCTTAGAGAATAGAAATTAATACAATCAAATAGTATGTAATGTGGAGATATAAATAAGTTCAAGTAATCAAATAATGCTAATGTAAAGAGATAAGGAGTTAGAAAGATTGCAAACACTATATATCCTGGTTCGGTCACCACCACTGTGACCTATGTCCAGATTGAAACCACCCGTTCAACTTTCCACTAATTATCAAGCTTCAAGGGTGCTTGACGAACCACTACAACCTTCAAGAATATAGATTCTTGAAACCTTTACACTTCCACTCACTTACTTAGGTTATGAGCAACCTCTTTCACTAGGGTCTCGCTACCCTCAACACAAATGAACAGAATGAGAGTATTTAGAAAATGATTTGTACTCTTGAAGTACAGATTATACAAGTTGAAGCTTATAGGTATTGATCAATGACACAAGAATAAAGCTCAAAGATGATTTATGATCAAGATGATGGAAAGTAAGCAAATGATGTGAAATAAAGCAAGAATTGTGATTTTGAAAGGTGTCCCATCAAGGGGAACAATGATCACTATTTATAGAAAGCCCTCATGACTCTTTGCACACTCATTTTTGCAAAACTAGTCGTTTATATCCGTTATACTGCTTACTGTCCAGTAAGTATTCGAATACTATTCGTTAGGTATTCGAATACTTCAACTGGTATTCAAATGCTTTTCTTAAGGTATTCGAATACTTTGTTCTCAGCACAAGTATTCGAATACAGTCAAGAGAGTATTCGAATACTTTCTTGACAGAACATCAATTATGCAGTTTTATGAGTTGTAAAGCATACCTTTTAGTCTCTAATCACTTTTAATGTTTTTTCTTGACTTGTACAGAATGTTTTGAGGTTACGAAATATGTCAAGGGTCTTTTTCATAATAATTAAAGTTTTTTAAGTGATAGATGACATGGATAATGCATGCATAGAGTTAAATATCTTTAGAGCTCATTTATGCATCATCAATCAATTACCTTTACATTTAGATCTAAGCTTTCAAGAGCATGATTCAATCTTGATCTTGTGTGTTGAATGATTTGCTCTTGTTGTCTTGTTTGAATTGCTTCCTTGGACTTTTGATTGTTGCGAGTTGTATTATCTTTAACGTTGCTTCTATGCTTGCTTGTTGTCATCAAAACTCTTGCATAAGTGAACTCTTCATTTTAAGCGCATTGGTTTCACATAAAATAACAAAGATAATTGAATTTTTTTGTGGAACTGCACTAAATATAAAATAATTTTTTTTAACAATTCGTAAAAAGAATTGGTTTTTTGAAATATTTCATGAACTGAATTATTTTTTAATAAACATAAACTAGACTCTGAACTGAATGATTTTTTTTCATTTTCTCTTGTTTTCTTTTATTTCTCTTTTTCCCTCTCTATTTTTTTCTCTGATTTATTTATTTACTAGTCTTCTTTTTTATTTATTTCTTTAGTTTTTTATTTTTACTTTCTTTTTCTTTTCTTTTTTCTCTAGTGCATTTTTCTTTCATATTTCCCTTTATCTTCACATTATTTTACTTTATTTTCAATTTTAATTGTTTATTGTTTTTTTATTTCTAGTATCATTTATATTTTTTTTAAATATCCTTTTTTTCTCCCTCAATATTTTTGTATTTTTATTTTGGGTTCATTTGTTATTGACCCCAACTAGTTAGGGATAAATGTGTTGTTGATTAATCAAACTGATCTTTTTTAAATCAGTTAATGAAACTAACAAAATTTTATAAGTTCTAATGCTCATTTTTTTTATTATACACAATGTTTCACTTATCATATTCATTATTGCGCAAAATTTTTATACGAGCTCTAACATTGATAAGCCCAGGATATTGTGACATGTTATTGTATCGGATTAAATTTATTGGACTACAATTCTTCAGTCTATGGTTCATACATGGTTGTTTTACCACTTCCGAACTGGTTCGAAAAATTAAACATGTTTAATTCTCCAAATTAAATTATTTTTTCTAGTTCAGTTTGGTTAGAACAAGAAAACAAAACCAAATTGAATTGTTTGCAACCCTAGTGT